GGAGGTGGCGGGAGTGGTGGCGGAGGCGACGGCGGCGCAGGGAGTGGTGTCGAAGACCATGGAGGCGAAGGGAGTTGATGATGGCGGCGGAGGCGACAGTGAGGGAGAAGGAGGAGTAGGGAGAGAGGGAGGCGGAGGAGACAGCAGTGATGGGGGGGGGGGGGGGTTGGAAAATTTCGATACCCTAAGGTGCCCTGGTGATCCTGGGTTAGTGTAGTCTCTTCTGAGCCCGCTCTTGATGGAGTGGAAGCGTTTTCATAGCGAATTCACGCCGATATTGCCATACGGACGTCCCTCTGGCGCGCTCTTCAAGGCCTCATCCTGGATTGGTGCTCGCCGGCGTGAGTTCATACAGCGCTGCGAGCTGGCCTAAGGCCGGACCTTACGACGGTCCAGCGCTGGGCAGCGTGATGGCTCCTACTCGAGGCGCGACATGAGTGTACGAGGACCTCGACGCCTCGGTTTGGCGAACCAGCATGAGGAGCGGAGCCGCTGTAGCTCCTCCCTGCAGCTTGCGCGTCGCGTTTTGGCCAACGTCCCATCCACCGCGCATACTGCGGCGGCTCTCCAGCTCAAGAAGGCTGCGCTCGACCACCACATCGAGTCAGTGGTCCGGACGCCCCGCTGAGCCTCGCGCCGCAGTGCAGCCAGTTTGCGCGGCCGTGATGCGCGAATCGAACCGGTGCGATGTTGCTCGGCACTCTAGATGGCCTGAACATGCTTGCGTTCAAGTCTCGAGGTCTTCGCTTAAACTTGAAAATTTAATAAATTCGGGTCCGACCGGCCTATCGTTGTTCAGAGCGCTCTCTGTCTCTCCACCTTGTGCCAGGGGTCGCTCCTCAAGAAACGCAAACGGCCGTGGGCGCGGACGGGCAACCGAACGATTTTGCCGCTTGCTACGTCTCGTCGTCGGCGCACGGCACGCGCTCCGCCTCACTGCCTACCACAAGCTCGTGTGCGCAAACCTGGCCCTGCCATGGCGCCGCCACGAGCGGGTCACCGCTGCCGCACTCGCAGAGAGCGCCAGCACGACAACCGCCACAGCGCCGACCGCCACGGCGCCGGCCGCCGCGCTCGGCCAACGCTCGTCTCGAGCCGCGTCGGCCGTCTCGAGCCGCACCGATGACGGCGGTGCCGCGTCGGGCGCGACGCGCACGGTCGCCCTCACAAAGGCCTCGAGGTCCAGCCCGTCGGCCGGTGGGGAGAGGTCGTAAGCATCGGCAGCCAGCAGGCCGGCGCGCACGAGCGTGCGCAGCGCCTCGAAGTCGGTCCGATCATAGGCTCGGCGCACATTCGCGACCGCCTGTGCGCTCATCAGCGCCGGCCGTGCCGCCGAGCTGCGCCGCTCGGCGAGCGAGACGCTGGCATACACTGACGACGGCCACGGCAGGCGCAAAGCGTGCGCGAGGCGCGCAACGTCGTGCTCAAAGGTCTCAACGCGACCCACAAACAGGCGCGCGCGATGCCGCTCGACAAAAATGCCATTGTCGAGGTACCAGCCAAGGCCCTTGTGCAGGTGCTCAATGGGCGAGCGCAGCAGCCGACGAGCGATCTCACCGTCCTCGTCCGCCTTGGATAAGCTCTCGGCCAGGTGGTTGGCGTCGTCAAAGTGGAGCATCCACGCCTCCCACGTCGTGCCATTCGGAAAGCGGCTGTAAGCGTGGCCGGTGCGGACCTTTACGCGCACCTTGAACGGCTCTAAACACGCTGGCCCGAGCTCGCAGAACGTCTCGTTCGACAGGCCAGTGACGTTGGTTTCTATGACGCCTCGTTGCCACTCGTACGCTGACCGGAAGCGCTCGACCGGATCGCGCACCCACACGATGTACTGATATGACGCATCCTCCCGCGGCGAGAATGAAACGTCGGATGAATGATATGAATGATACTGCGAGAATGAAACGTCGCTGCGCTGCAGCCACGTGGCGACGGTGGTCCCGCCGCTCTTACCCACGTGCACGAACGTCAGGCAGCTCATGGCGCAAGCTTGTGAGCCGCTGCACCAAATCTGCTGTCGATAGCGCGTGTTGTTGAGGGACTTTGCCCAATCTGGCAAGACGAAGAGGCGGCGGCCGTGCGTGGTGGCGCTGTCGTCGAAGAGAGTGCACGGCCGCGATTCGGCCGGAGCAGGCTCGCCCATGTATTCGCACTAGCGGCGGCCCGTGGGCGTCGCGCGCACGGGGCGGCGGCGTCGCGGCGCAAAGAAAAAAGGTGAACATCTAGCCCGTAAGCCGATGCCGAACGTCCGGCCAACTGGGTGCGCTTCTCAGCTCCCCGGTCCTGGGCGTGAGGTTAATGACCGCACTCCAAGTGCTCCAAGAAAAGTGTCAGAAAAGTTGGCACGTCGTGTTTCGCGGCGGGCACGTTACGTTACATTTCGTTAGTCGTGGCCCGCGGCCCGCCTCCGCGGCGGGCACTTTCACGCCACGTGAGGCCATCATCTCCATCATGTACAAAGGCGCAAAGTAGGGGCATCCATGTGTGTGCGAGTGCGAGAGATGGAGTGGCCAGCAACATACGATTGGGGGGGGGGGGGGGGGCAGGCGACTGCGCGGCGGACCGCGAGGCGGCGCAGATGTCGGTGGACGTGATCAAGGAGGAGCGGCGCAATTTCTATACGGCGCAAAGGAAGGAGAAGGTGCAGCTCGAGGAGGCGCGGCGGACCGCGAAAAGCGCAAGCACGACGCCGAGGTGGAGGAGCAGCGTGTCCACAATCGAGACATCAAGGGCAAGGTGCGCAAGAAGTTTTTTATTGCTCCAAACTTCGGGAGAGAAGGGCTACATATTATGACTGCATCCATGCGCCTGGTGCATGAGGGCTGTGGGTCGGGACATTTCACAGTCGATGGCGCCGATAATGACCTCCGGAAAGCCCTCACAATCGCCTCGGATGGGGTCCACCGGGGACATTCTCGAGCCCTCTGCGTGCCATCACGAGCCGGTGTGAGCTTGAAGACCCAAGATAAGTGCGGTTCGGGACAGCTCGGGCTTGCTACTGATGGGCCTGGGCCAGGAGAGCGACAGAGAAGGCGAGCTCGTGAGCTGAGAGGCTGGAGAGTCCGCGTGTGACCTTGTCGCGATAAAAGTGCTTCGTGGCGAAGTGCTACACAGCGAGTTAGGAGTGAGCGTCTTAGTGGCGAGGCGCGGGACCGTCTGTGGCGAAGTGGGTCGCATTCTTCCGATTTCCTCAACTCCGGGGGTTTTCTCTGATTTGCCGTCTCCTAGAGGTCGTCTCCCCACTAATGTACGTTGCGTACTTTTAGCTTACTGGCTGGGAGAAAGAGCAGGCGCACATCGCTTCCAGGGAGGGGGGCGCGCTTCTGCTCACACCACATGCTAGGGGGGGGGTCCGACCCCCCCAGAGGCTTCACCACATGCTAGGGGGGGGGTCCCGACCCCCCCAAAAGCTTCACCACATGCTAGGGGGGGGGTGGGGCGTGAGCAGAAGCGCGCCCCCCTCCCTGGAAGCGATGTGCGCCTGCTCAAAAGGGAGAGGGGGTTGTGTGTTCTCTAGGCCCCTAAGGGCCCTACGCGCGGCGTGAGAGCTCGGAAGCGAGCTCGACGTTTTTGTGAGGAAAAGACGCAGAGAGAGAGAGAATTCTTGATACGAAACCACGACGACACACACCAGTCGACTCGCATCGGTTGCCTCCATGAACGGCGGAGCTATTCTCGCGCCCACACCACACCTGGCTCCAACGTGGACACGCCCATAGCTGGGGACACTACTAGGTCACGCATGGCATCACAGAAGTTTTATCTCTGGGCCCCGAAAGGCATCTCTAGCAGTGTCGTTACACATGCCCCCTCCCCTCCTGGGCGCATGCGCCTCACGTCTCGCCAGAGCATAAGCCCTTGGTGTGTGGCGAGACGAGTTTTTCGCCATCGCAGCGAGCAGCAAGCCGCCCGCCGCAAACAGCCGGAGGCCTCGCCGCGGCACTGGCTGCGCCGCGGTCCCGCACCCGTCGACGCAGCTCCCCCCGCGGAAGACCGCGCGTAGCGACGCCTTGACGATCGAGATGAGCGCGCTCGAGGCTCGCCCACCTACTGCCCCTGAGAGTTGGTTATTGAGTGGGATCAGCTCCCCCCCTTGGGATCGAAGCTTCCACGACCTCACACCCAACACCACAGGCGGGATCAGAAGGGGACTCCACACCGGACACCGCCCGGGCACAGCCCCCCTACCCGTCGGATCGCACAGAGGGCCCCCTCGGAGCAGCCCACACACAATCACGCATCGGCAGATTGAGTGCCTGAGTCAGGCAGACAGCACAGACAAGAGGAGAGAGAGGAGAGAGAGAGAGAGAGAGAGGAGAGAGGAGAGGGTGAGGGTGTGAACACACGTGAGGAGTGGGGGAGGGTGTCTGTGGTGGGCTGTAGTCCTACTACGTGGTTAGAACCACGCGCCCCTCAGGAGCTTAAGGTAGAGCTGAGCGTCCAAGACGCCTCGGTGCCACCCACCGGGTGAGACCATCCGGATCTGCCTGCCGCGTCCTCGTACGCAGCAGTCCCCGCGATGGCCCACGGTCCGCCGTCGCCTGGTTGAACCCCCTGCCTCCCGGTTGACCCCCCGGTCCCCGTACTCGACCATGAAATAAACTCAAAGTCCACCACAGCCACCAGCCTCCACCTCCACCGTCGAGCCGCGATCGCTGCCGCCCGCGACGCCGCCCGCCGCGTCAGATAGCCGCGACGCGCGCATCGAGTCGCGTCGGAGAGCCGCGCCGCACCAGCAGCAGCATCTGCACCACCAGCAGCAGCAGCAGCACCACCACCACCACCCGAGAGAGAAGCGCACCTGCCCGACGCCGCCCGCCGCGTCAGACGCTCGCGACGCGCGCGTCGAGCCCAGTCGCACAGCCGCGCCGCGCCAGCAGCAGCATCGGCACCAGCAGCAGCAGCACCACCACCACCACCAGCAACAGAGACAGGCAGTGCAGGCGCAGAGGCGCTCGCAGAGCGGCGCTCAGCGCCGCGCACGCCACGCTGCGGACCGTCGGACGAGCGCACCGTACGTCGGCGGCGAGCCGCGTCGCCAGCCGTCTCGCGAG